ATTTTTCTATCACTTAATAAATTGCTCTGACTGGGCAAGGTGGCACATTCCTATAATCTGACCTTATAAAAGGCAGAGGCAGGCGGGTTACTAAAATTTGGAGGCCAGCCTGGTTTACTAAAAAGTTCCCAGGCTAGCCAGTGTTGCATATCGAGGCTGTCTCAAAAACAAAACACAAAAAATAATTTGCTCCATTTCTCTCCAGGACTCTTTTCATGGATCTGAGTATAGTAATCACAATGCCACCAATAATGTTCTAATTACATTTGAGGTCTTCTGACCCACGCACAATCTCAGGCATGAGTTAAGTCTTTTAGGAAAAATACATGTCCAATACATGGGTTAGTTTTTCCAGATGCTTGCGAGAGGGCATAGATCTCTTTCTGTTCCCTGTAAGGCATGCTGTGCTGTGTCTTCATGGGTAACCTTGATTGGTGACCTCTTGATAAGGGGAGTGGGGTGGCAGCGGCGGGAGAGGGGGCATTGCTCAGTGTGCTTCTGTCATTTATGTCAATCATTTTATGTCATCAATCTCCAGTCCTGTGTCGTCAATTGTGATTCTCATCTTTGTCCATACAATAAGCTAGTGTTCCTTAGATTGTATGTGCACAGGAGTTCCCCAGCATCCAACTTAAAGGCGGGATCAGACACAAAAGGCATGGGTCTCTCTCTGCTGTCCAGTGAGAGTGTCTACTCCAGGCATTGACTAATGCTCAAGGAAACAGAGCAGAACTTCTTGTTTTCCCAGGTAGTGTCAAGTGCTGGGGACCCCAGAGGGATAGTGATGTCAACAGGCAGCAGGTGTGCCAGGAATGTCCTCATTAGCCAGTTAAATAACTTTATGGCATATAGTAGACTTTAAACGTTACTTAGTATCACCATAATAACTTATTTCCTGCTTCTGTTGTTAGAGCCCAGTTCACTTCTTACAAGGGCGAACACTACCCAACATTATGTATATTTGTTTTGGTATTTTTTTTTGGAGACTGGGTCTCTCTACATAGCCCTGACTGTCCTAGAACCCACTCTGTAGACCAGGCTGATCTCGAACTCACAGAGATCTGCCTGCCTCTGCCTCCCAAGTGTTATGATAAATATATTTTAAGTAGACATCATAGCTGTCTTGTTTTCTCCTTACCTTTCCTCAAACGAGTGATCATCTGCTTCCATAGTGTGGTCGACACTTTATTCTATCCTGTCCATGTGGGTCCTGGTCAATTCCATTCCCATTGGAGGGTTAAACATCATATTCTATTTCTGCCTTCATTCAGCATATCTTTGGGCTTCTCTCCTATGCAGGTCTGTGACTGGGGCTGTTGTAGTCTAGTTTGAGAAAGCAGAAATAGAGATCTAATGGGCTAAGGGATGAGTTATAATAATCTGCTTAGTCCAAGTCTTCATAGAGGTCCACCTTTCCTTCTCCCACCAACCCAGAGTCCTGGATTCTGTTCAGTTCTAAACTATATACACGCACGTGTAACATGCAGGTGATGAGGCACTTAGGATCGATTAGATGTATGAAATGAATTGGCATCGTGTTAGCATTGTTGCTTAAGACAAGTATCTCGAGCACAGCTCTGCGAAGCCCACCTTGTACTTAAGGATCCATCATGGACCAGCAACGGCAATGTCTAGGGCAGACTGCCTCCTGTCCTGCCACATCCCCAGGCTTTGCTCCGTTCCTTTCTTTGCATAATCTTCTCCTTCCTACTTTAGCCAAATTATGTGACTTCTACTGTCTCTGCCTGCAGAAGCTCATTTTTTTTCTTTCTTTGCCATAGTCTATGCCAGTTTCAGTGAACTATTTTAAACTCCCTGAGTCTACTAGGGTCTCTTAGTGCTGTCTTTGTGTCTTTGTGGAATGCCGAATGCTTTGCCTGGAGTGCAGTTCACTGCTTTACCATTTCTTCACGTGATTATTTTTTTTAGGTCTCATTTAACCTATTGTTTCTTTTCTATTTGGTTTTTGTTGTTGTTGTTTAAGATTTTTGTATGTGTGTGTGTGATGTGTGTACAGGTGTCAGTGGGAGGCAGAAGATGCCCTTGGATGCCCTGGAGCTGAAGCTGAAGACACATTCAGATATGGGAACTGGGAACAAATCCTAGTCCTCTGGAAGAGCAGTCTGTGCTCTTAATCACTGAGCCATCTCTCCGGCCCTACTTCTTATTTTATTAGCACTTGTCTAACCTCCCTTTCCCCAAGACCTCTGAGCTCCCATAACACCCCATCTCACGCACGTCCTAACATATATCACTCTCTGTGGTAATTGGACATATTGGTGTTTAAAGCTTCAACTAGTCTGGAGCAGCCCCTTGGCAATGGATAGTTCCCTGATAGATCTTTAATATTTAGTCAAGAATCTGCTTTCTAGTAGGTACTTGAAATATTTATAAAAGAATAAAAGATGCTGGGTGTGGTGGCACATGCCTTTAATCCCAGTTAAATGCAGAAGCAGGAAGATCTCTGTGAGTTCGAGGCCAGCCTGGTCTACAAAGCAAGTTCCAGGATGGCCAGGGCTGTTACACAGAGAAACCCTGCCTCAAAAATCAATCAAATAAATAAATTAATTAAAATTAACTAATTAATTAATAAATAATAGAATGTAATTATTTCTCATTTTTAAGGCACACACAGCATAGCACTTTCAAACACAATAAATTTATACTTTGTAAAGTATCTGTATACATCTTATCGCTTCTGCTTTCTTTAACAGTAGGATGCACGACTGCTTCAAAGATAATGCTCAGAAGCATTTTAGTTAATAACGACTCACAAAAGATTTGCCTGAAGAAGTCCTAAGCTTCGGGTTAAGCAAGACTTCTATTCCCCGAATTTGTACACTTTTGAGAAGGATAATTGTCATAGTCAAGGTTTCTATTGCTGGGATGAAACACCATGACCAAAAAGCAAAGGGAGAGGAAAGGGTTCATTTGGCTTACGCTTCCACACCATGGTTCATCACTGAAGGAAGTCAGGACAGGAACTCACACAGGGCAGGAGCCTGGAGGCAGGAGCTGATGCAGAGGCCATGAATAAGTCCTGCTTACTGGTGGGTTGCTCCTCACAGTTCTTTCTTATAGAACCCAGACCACCAGCCCAGGGATGGCCCTACCCACGATGGGCTGGGTCCTCTTCTATCAATCAGTAATTAAGAAAATGCCTGCAGTCTTTTCTGAATTGACTTCCCTGCTCTCAGATGACTTAACTTGGGTCAAGTTGACACAAGACCACGCAGCACAGCCATGCTACCCATCACATATGATCTCCCTATTGAACACCTTACAGCTAGGATTCGTGTGTTAGACTTGGATTCAAGACTGAAGGTGCCAGATGGGGTGGAGTATCACAGTGCTGTATCCACTCTCCAGAAGGACAGACTGAAATCCAAAGTTCCTCATCGTATAGTCAACTGTTAAGCAGTGAGTTAGGGATAGGGACAGATAATTGCCCAGGATTCTTAAGTCTCTATTCTTTGCCCCAATAAATGTGGCTTGCCTTTTGATGAAGTGGGAAACATGCAATAGGAGACATAGCAATTTAGATGATTTTGTGAGTTCTAATAATTAGTCATCAAAAAATAGAAAGAAACAAAATCAACAAAATCTGTTTCTTCTTGCATCTGCCAGAGTGATCGAGTGCAAACCTTTAACTGTAATCAAAGGTAGGGTAAAATGTCAAAGCTGTGTGCTTTAAAGAACTTAATTAGGGATTCTGTTCTCATCCCAATGTAGCAAGCACTTTACGTCCTTAAGGAGAAACATTCAGGGTATTTAGACATCAATTTGGATCATTTAGACATCAAACTTTTATTTTAAGAACTTAATGCTAGAAAGTTGTTCATGCTCTGGAGAAATCAAGGCTTGTATACACTGAATTTGGGTCAGTTTGAGGTTTGGGATATCTTTTCTTAGTTACACATTGACCAACAAAGGGCCAAATATACCACAAGAGAGCATTAGAGGTTGACTTTGAGAGTAGAGGGCTATTGAATAGAGCTTAGAGAAGAAGCTGTTAGATGGTGGTGTACACCTTTAATTCCAGCACTAGGGAAGGAGAGGCAGATGGATCTCTGTGAGTTCAAGGCCAACTGATCTACATAGCAGGTTGCAGGCCAGTCAGGGCTTTATAGCATAATGACAGCCTGTCTCAAAAGAAATAAAAAATTGTAAACTCAAGTACCAAGAGTTAGTGCTCAGTTTCCAACACTTTTACATTCATTCCTTTGCCTTACTCATGCCATAAAGAGACAAAAGAAGGTGGAGCAGGAAATAGATGAATGAACAAGTGACTGGATTATGACGAAGGCCCAGGGAGAAGAAAATACCCGAGACCACACCTTCACTGCGGAGTGAGGAGTAGAGCGCAAGTCTCCACTGGTGCAGCCAGAGTATCCCCCATAGGAAGTTTCCATTTGTGACCTGTCCTACCTGGAATTTACAGATGCAGTGTAACCGCTTATGTTTCTATTCAGGAGAACCTGAAGGGGTTCCAGTGTTTCTCTGATTCTCTATCACATGATGTGTCCTAGGCAAAGAGAAAGCTGATAATAAACTACCTTGCTCAAAGAAAACCAGAAGGCCAGCCTTCTTGGTGACTCAGGTTCTAGGCTGCAACCACTCGGGGATCTGGATCTAGAGGGGAGCAGGAGGCAAAGATTGTTCACTACTCAATGAGTCGGCACATAAAGAGAAGTGTGATTCCATAAACTGAAAACAGCAATCCTTTGGGCTTAAAAATGATCATTTAAAAAAAAATGCAGACATAGAGGCTGGAGCTGGAACTTGTTACTCTTGCAAGGATCAGGATCAATTTCCAGCATCCATATGGCGGCTAATATGTCTGCCACTCCAGTTCCAGGGGATCTGTGGTCCTCTTCTGACCTCCCTGGGCACCAGGTATGCATATGGTACACAAACATACAGGAAGCCAAAAATTCATACATATAAAATTTAATAAGTTAAAATAAAAATGCAAACATAAATCACTACTCCATTATTTATTACAGAAGAAATTTTATTCAAGTTTGTTTATTTTAGCATTATTAATATTGTATATTCAGACCACATTTAAATTTTTCTGGTAAATATTTAGAAGAACCCTATTCAATGCCAATGTTAGTAAGCTCCATGCAAACGTGCAGTACAGATTTTGTCTTGAAATTATCCTTGAGCCCATCACTCCCCTTTTCCCTTGACTTTAGGACTGATCACTACTCCCTTAGCTTTTAGCTGGGGGCATGTTGAACAAAATATGGGAATATTTTATTTAAATTTTTTTTCATACAATATATTTTGATCGTATTCCTTCCCTTCCCAAACTCCTCCCATCTCACCCAGCTTCAGCTTAGTGCTGTTTCTTTCTCTGATTCCCTCTTTAAAAAAAAAAAAAGAAAGAAAGAAAAAGAAAAACTCAAAAATCAAAAAATGAAAACTAAAACAAACTAACAACAGTGACGAAACAAAAAATGACAAGACAAAAATAGCAAAACGAAACAAAAAGCCCACACAATACCATAATGTCACTGCTCTAGAGGTGGTGGGACCTGGGAGAGTGGAGCCAAAAAATGAGGCAGACTAAAGTCTCATGCAGTAGCCAACATTATCCAGAGCCTCCGACGAGTTATACTCTGAGGGTTAAGAAAGGCCACATAGTGAAGTGCTCATGAGTTCACGCTGTATACAGTCAAGCTGTATACAATGCTGTATACAATCATGCTATATACAAGCCACAAGTAGCAAAAACATGTTTTTCTGTAGAGGAATGTAAACATTTAATTGAATAACAACAGCAAGTAATAATGAATGATTTGAAGTAAACTTACTCCTATCCAATACACCTGGGAGGAATATATAAACACATTCCAAGAATAATTCCACGTTTTTGAAGAAACTGAGGTCTCAAGATCCTTGTCTTGTTTTCTTGGAGTGTTTTCACAGGCACTTAGAATTCCCTCACATGACTGTATTCCTGGACCGTGTTCTGACACCATAATATCCCCTCATTTGTACTTATATAATAAATGTGTTGAGTTTCTGGGTTGCTGTTGGTGCAATTCCGTCAGAGCACATGGCTCATCTGATTCCAGCTTTTCTGTATATGTTGTCTATCATTTCTTCATTTCCTGTCATCCTAGTCAGGTCAATACTGAGGCTATGAACATAGTTGCATATGCATAGTCATATCATCTCCATATGAAAGCATTCATCATAGTCTCTGTAAGAAAACAATCCCAATATTCATTAGCAGATAAATAAACATAACAAGGCATATCCACAGACTAGTATGTTATTTGGTCATAACAAGTAATCAAAATATATGATCCACAGGTATCAGTATATGATGCCAGAACACAGGCAAACCTTGAAAACTAGAACACATTATCCTAAATGAGAGAAAGCACCTTCAAAAATCCATGCATTAGGTACGATTTACTCATGTGACATGTCTGGAACAGACAACTCTATACAGACAGAAAGTAGAGAGTTGTTTGGATCTACATGTGGTAATGAAGAGTGACCACAAATGGGTGCTAGATTACTTACTGAAGAGATGAAAAATTCCAATATTAGAATGCAGTAACAGGTCTACAATTCCATAAGTCTACTTAAGATTTACTAAAAATTACCTTAATGCTTCAAATCCATGAATCTTATGATACATAAACCATAGTTCAATTAAACTACATTAAACTACATGCATATATGTGTGTGTGTGTGTGTGTGTGTGTGTGTGTGTGTGTAGAACATTTATAAATTAGTTTAATTGAGGATCATTTTGTATGTAATCATATATATTGAGAGAATCTATCTGTCATTTATCAATCATTTAATCTATGTTAGTCTAAAACAGTCTTGAGTAGTGTATATGTGGTAACACATGCTGGTTATTGTAGCACTTATAGGATCAGAAACTTTAGGTAAGCCCAGACTTAGTCATTTGCAGGCCATTCAGAGAAAGACCCTTCCTCAAAAATATAAACATAAAAATGCCTTGGAATCTGTGATGCCTGCTGAGTGGATGATATTGTGGATTACAGCCATTAGCAAAGTTTATCGTAAGCCTATTTCATGAACTCCTGGTTACTAAGTACAAATAGATAATTATAGGTTTTCTGTATCACCTTAATAGGTTTCTCTGCTGGCACGGTAAGCCAGATCAAGTCTAATTGAAAAAGTGAAAGTATATTTGAACATAGCAACTCCTGGGTGAGTCCTCCAGCCCCAGAGATTGGGGCCAGAGAAGTCACCAGGCCGAACAAAAGCAGGAAGCTTATATACCCTGTAGGCGAGGGATGATGTTCTCCACAAGCTGGGTTTGTGCCCAAGTATGGCCAAAAAATGACTGCTTTGGGAGTGGTCTTGGGCTACTGGCAACTTCAAGGAGAGGAGCCACCGCAGCTGCCAAGAATACAGAACTGAGCTTGTTGGTGGCTTTTCTTTGTTGAAGATTCTCTGAGAGGGTGGAGTTTAGAGAGAGGAGTGGGGCTTTCTGCATCAAGCAGGAATGAGCTGGAGGTTCCAGCCGAACAGATAGTCTTCTATAAGACATCCTAAAGGGACTGGTGAGGCTACGGATAGAAGTCTTGGCTGTACATATCAAATCCTTGGACATCATCCTCTACTGTCTGTGGCTGTTGTATGAAAATAGAAATATTTGTATTCCCCAATGGGCACTAGGCATCTCCAGGCTCACTTATCGCCATCAGAGGGACTCACAACAGCTCCAGTCCCTTCGCTGGGTGATCTCAACCAAGCTGTCTCAACAGAGCCCTCAGTCTTACAGACCTTTGTGTTAACAGGTAGGGTGGTAATTCTACTTACTTTTCTCAATTTTCCCAAACCTAATAGTTAGGGGTGCCTTAGCTTGCTTTCCTGTTGCTGTGACAAACGCCATGCCTAAAAGCTACTTGGGGAGGAAAGGGTTCATTTCATCTTACAGGTTATTGTCTGCCATTGGTGCAACCCAAAGCAGGAACTCAAGGCAGGAGCTTAAAGCAGAAATCACAAAATTACACTAATTACTGGCTTACTCCATGGCTCATATTTAGCTATTTTTCTTATACAGCCCAAACCACATAGGGGTAGGCCCTCCTCTGTAGTCGGAAGTTTTCCTGTGTCCCAGCTAGCCGGCAGTCAGGACAAATCTTTCCCATTCATGTCTCCCAAGTAAGCACACAGAGGCTTATATTAATTATAACTGCTTGGCCATTAGCTCAGGTGTATTACTGACTAGCTCTTACACTTAATTTAACCCATAATTCTTATCTATGTTTAGCCACGTGGCTTGGTACCTTTTCTCAGTTCTGCCTTGTCATCCTGCTTCCTCTGTGTCTAGCTGGCGACTCCTGACTCAGTCTTCCTCTTCCCAGAATTCTTGTCTGCTTATCCCGCCTATACTTCCTGCCTGGCCACTGGCCAATCAGCATTTTATTAAACCAGTGTACAAAAGCATTATCCCACAGCACTCCTATATTAATTAGCAGCTAAGAAAATGTCCCACAGAGATGCCTACATGACAGTCTAATGGAAGCAGTTCAATGGAGCTACCCTCTTCCCAGGTATGTCAAATTGACAACCAAGATTAGCCATCACAGTGGGTCCATGGTAGGTACTTGATGTACCAACAACGACAACAAAAAGGGACACAAATGGTGTGGTTTGGTGTTTGAGTTTCAGATTCTTTCCAATGAACACAAACCAAGAAGAAATAAAGTTCTGGTTACCAATATCACTGATATCATATATTGGTCTCCATGGGCATCACTACTAGGGACAATCACAGTCCTTCTAGGTTCTAGACTCAGTTGAAGTAAGAAGCCAGCATCCTGGTATAGGAGGTTGAACTACAATAGGCCAAAGTCATTTGGATAATCTGATTCTGTACGCTGACAAGGTCTAACCAGAGATGTCTCTATAGCGACGCACTGAAAATGGGGTGAGATGTGTCAAACTCCTGGTATAGGTACATCATTGTTTCAACTCTTTAAAGACAATAAAGAACGTGTGTACTGATGAAATATTCTAGTACCATTACAGGAAGAAATCCTACATTTAGGAGATACGGTGGTTTTAAGAAAATGACCACCAAAGGGAGCAGCACTATTAAGAGGTGTGGCTTTGTTGGAGGAAGTATGTCACTGTGGAGGCGGGCTTTGAGGTCCCACATACACTCAAGCCATTCCTGGTGTCTCAGTTCACTTCCTGTTGCCTGTGGATCAAGATGTAGAATTCTCCAGCACCATGTCTGCTTTCATGCCACCACGCTCCCTGCCATGATGATAATGGACTAAACCTCTGAAACTATAAGCTGCCACCTCAATTAAATGTTTTCCTTACAGGAGTTGCCATGGGCATGGTGTCTCTTCACAGCAATAGAAGACCTAACTAAGACAAAACTTGGTACCAGGGACTGGGATTGCTGTGATTGGCCTGACCATGTCTTTGTCTGGAGGAATTGGACTTTGGTATTTTGGGTTAGGTAAGCAGTGAAATGCTTTAAGCACTGCTTAATGGGCCATACTAGTAGGAACATGGAAGACAGTGGTGCTAAGAGTTATTTGGTCTGTCGGGGGCTGGCTCAAGTGGTTTCAGAGGAGAAGAATTTTAGTATGTTGCCTAGATATCCTTCTTGTGATATTTTGGTGAAGAATGTGGCTGCTTTTTGCCCTTGTCTGAAGAGTCTGCCTGAGGCCAATGTGAAGAGTTTTTGATTAATTCCTTTGGCAGAGGAAATCTCAAAACAGCCTTGTATAGACTCTGTCCTGTGGTTATTAGTGGTAACTCTAATGAAGATTTATAATGAAAAGGAGCAAGCTGGGCAGGGTAAATTACAAAATGTAAAATGTGAGGAGAAAAGAAGCACCAGGAAGTGGAATGGAGCTAAATCCTGTGTTTAAGGAGATTAGCAGATTAAGAAATGGAATAAAAGGAGTGGTGACCTCAGGACAAGATCCCACCCAGCTAAGTTTCCAACTTGTGAAAAGGAATTAAAGAAAAGCTTAGAGTTGGGTGTGGTGGTGCATGCCTTTAATCCCAGCACTTGGAAGGCAAAGTGTAGTGGATCTCTGAGTTTGAAGCCAGCCTGGTCTATAGATCATGATTCAGGACAGCAAAACTTAGGCAGCAAAGGAAACCATGGAAAACACAAAGCTGAAGATATAATTGAGAGAGGGGACCATACTCCAGCCCCAGTAAGTATCAAAGACTATTAGGGCCCAGCTCCTCTATAGTCTTTTCCCAGAGTTCCAGAAGAGATGCTACCAGCGGCAAATTAATTAATCTGAGGGATTTTGAATGAATCTATGTTCATGAAACTCTTTAGTCCATTTACTTTATTTTTCTGAGTCAGTTCTCTCTCTACATAGCTTCTGTTCTGCTCTCATAGTTAGCTCCTTTCTTCCCTGATTCTCTCTATATTTTTTGGCTGTTCTTTCTAAGTTCTATCTTAATTCTCCCATCTAGTTCTTTCCCATCTAGTTCTTCCTATCTTAATTCTTCCCCATCTTAACTCTCCCTCAAATCTCTGTTGTTTACAATTACACACCCATGCAATCAGCAATACTGTGGCCAATGCAAGGTCACCAGACTTGAATTCTTTCAGGGTCAAAAGGAGGGTGATAAGATCCACACAAAGGGCAGTAATTGTCTGCTATCATTAGCAACCCAAAAGGGAAGTGACTAATGGGGAATGAATCAACTAAGGGCTAAATTCAGTTAATAAATCGAAAAAGGGAATTTATGTGTTCAAACTATATTCTTAGAAGTGGTTAGGTACAATTTTAGGATTCTATAAGTCACTAAGTCACAAGTGAGAATAAACCTGCCTTTTTTTCATTTGGGGCCAAAATCTGTCCAAGCTGTGCAGTTTTCTGGCTGGGCAGGGGAAGTGTAGTTAGGTAACTAGGCAACCTAACTCACAGCTTAATGTACCTGGTATGTAAAAGCCTTTAGTTCTGAATTCATTGTTAAAGGAAGATCTAGAACTTGGAAGAAGGAGAGTTAAGCATAATTAGCACATTCGCCTGGCCTGGGCAGTTGTCTCATTGTAAATTTTTATCTTCTCTCAGGAACTAACAGATAGTCTGGATGCTTATCTATCTGCAGTCTGTCCTTAGAAAGTCTGGGAAGTATCTCTGATAAAATACTTTTGTCCAGAGATGGTCTTGGACAGATACTGCTAATGATGATAATTACAGAAAGGCCTGAAATTAGGGGTCTTGGCTATGTGACTGCTGTCAGCACAGTTGGGGGATGTTGTACAAATACTCCAATTGTGTAGGGGAAGTTGTACCCAATGAATGATCAACCACACTGTTGGAAGTTCTTGGGAAAATAATCAAATGGGAAAGTTACAATAGCACACAGGAAATTCATTGCAGGAAACAGCTAATATATTCAAAAGCCAATATCACAAAGACTCCTTGAGGCTTGGCTTTATCCTTTGGAAGAGACCTGCTCTTCTAGGTATTAGCTTTGCCATAGTCAGCTGAATTCCTGCTTCACATTTGTGTGGATCACAGCAAGTAAGCAGCAGACCTTGGTAGCTTTGGCCACATGGTTCTGGCTTTAGAGTCAAAGACAGAAGAAAGATGCTATGGAATTTTTCTCTGCGACTAAGGAAAGCTGCTGAGGCCAGTCACGTGTCAGTGGTGTCCCTGAATGGAGGCCTAGTACAGAGGCGTTGTGGAATATTATCTTAAGCTGTGTTACTTTTGTTTATGTTGCATTTGTTTGACTCTGTGAAGCTGTGTTAATGTGCCTGTCTAAAACACCTGATAGTCTAATAAGGAGCTGAATGGCCAATAGTGAGGAGGAGAAAGGATAGGTGGGGCTGACAGGCAAAGATAATATATAGAAGGAGAAATCTGGGAAGAAGATAGAAAAAGGATCAAGGAACAAGAGAGGAAGGGAAAGGACTTCAGGGGCGAGCCACCCAGCCACCCAGCTACACAGCCAGACACAGAGTAAGAAGGAAAGAGAAGGTATACAGGAATAGAGAAAGATAAAAGCCCTGAGGCTAAAGATAGATGAGATAATTTAATAAAAGATGGCTAGAAACAAGCCAAGCTAAAGTCAAGCATTCATAAGTAAGAAAAAAATCTCTGTGTATTTATGTGGGAACTGAGTGGTGGACCCCCAAAGAGCAAAAACAACCAACAACATTTTTGGTGTTCCGACGTAGGGCTAGAGTAAAAAAAAAAAAAAATCTAACAACATAGAGGCATTGCATGAAGCTATGAAGGTAAAGTTTTGATTGCCTTGGAGAACCCAAGATGTTAGAGGTACCAGAGTTGTGGGATATCTGCTGAGGAGAGCTGCTAACAGGGAGTGGAACCAGCCCAAGAGATAGAAGTATGTTGCAGTCAACAAAGCTGAAAGGAATTGTGTAGTTGGTAGATTTATTTTTATTGTTGTTTTGTTTTGTTTTTTCGCTCTTTGCTTCTTTGGGGGCCTACCACCCAGCTCCCAAATAAATACACACAGACTTATTCTTACTAATAAATACCCAGCCTTATCTTGGCTTATTTTTAGCCAGCTTTTCTTTTTTATTAAGGAATTTTTTATTCATTTTACTAGCCAGCTTTTCTTAACTTAAATTATCCCATCTACCTTATGCCTTTTACCTTTTTCTATTTCTGCATATCTTTTCTTTCCTTCTTATTCTGTGTCTGGCTGTGTGGCTGGGTAGCTGGCCCCTGGCATCCTTTTGAAGCACAATTCTAATTAATAAAAACCAGGAGTCAGATATTGGGGAAAAGCTGAAAGATCAGAGTAGCAGAGCAACAGCCACTAGAGACATCTTACCTCTATGAATTCTCAGACCAAATGGGGGGCTGAGATCCTGTCTCTGCCCACCTTATATTTCTATTTCTACCTACCAATTGTGCTGGGATAAAAGAGGTGAGCCTCCCAAGTGCTGGGATCAAAGGGATGAGCCTCCCAAATGCTGGAATCAAAGGTGTGAGCCACCACCGCCTGGCCTCTATGGTTAATTAGTGGCTAGCTCCACTCTCTGATCTCCAGGCAAGCTTTATTTGTCAGAACACAAACAAAATATCACACATTTCACCTTTTTGTCTAAATAAAAAGTGAAGGTTTTAAGTAACATAGAAAAAATATATACAGTAAGTACAATAACTATATGCAAATATATAAGGGAATAATTACATTAACAATGTCTGGTCCATTAGCATTTGACAAATTCAGAGAAATTACTCCATTATCTATCCTATCTTGGTTCAAAGTGTTGTACCTAATTCACTTTCTATCCTAACTTGAAGTACCAATCCAAAACTATCATTTTATATCTTTCACTTTATACACTTTGCACCTCTTTAGTGAGTTTCTTTTCTGAGTCTGGTAACAACAAAAACTATAACTATAGCTATCTAGTCTTCAACTCCATCATCTTGAGAAGGATATAATATTACCTGAGTAAACAGGACATGTACAGCAAACAACTTCCAAAAATAAGAAATGACAGAAACAGCTGGCTGCATGGACAGTCATCCAAGGTTCCTCTGCAACATTGGGGCAGCCATCTTTGGCCTACAGGCCTCAACTATCTGATAGACTTATCTGTGAAGCAGGAATTTTGAAGGATTGTCCCACCTTGTCTTGGCAAAGTTCTGTAGTCACTTCCTTTTGTGTCCTGCTTGTCCAGTTTGGACAGCATACTGTCAGCAGTTGAGGCAAGAGCATTATCTTACCCGGTGGCTAACTTTTTCCACAAAGAAAGTAAACTTAATGTGGAGTTTCTTTGATGCCCATCATCTTCTCTGAAGTAGACTGGTGCTGCCAGAAGCAGACATGTCTCACTGTCATTGGAAAAAAAAAAAAAACTTTGTTATTAAATCATCTTAAATGCCATCTAAAATAAATCTGTTTGACCTTGAAAACATACCTAACCTGACTAAAAGTTTGATTGTAATAGATAACCACTAACCTGCATTTCTTTATTACCCTAAATAGTTTATAGTCATAATTTTCAAGGACTAGAAATTTACATTATATTGTTAAGTGAACTGTATAGGTACAATACCTTGAACAAGAGTAGAAACATATGTACAGTATGTTCTAACTAAAATAACCTTAAATTTGTATCAATATAAAAATCTACATCAATGTAATATATTTAAAACTAGTAGTTTCTCTTTTGGTTTAAAAGTAGATTCAATAATCTACATTTTAATGCTATCATTTCTATAAGATATATACAGTGTAACAAAAATAATCTCAAATTTGTATCCATATACAAAAATCCAAGCCAAAGTAAAATATTTAACACCAGTACTTTTGGCCTAAAAGTAGATTCAATAATCTACCTTTTTATCCTATTTCTATATACCACCTTTTTCTTTTTAGAACAAGATCTCTGAATCTAATCTCCTTTGTTCAGCTTTTTCCTTACCATTACTAATAACAACTTGTAACCAACCCCCCTAAATAATGATAAATATCCATAACCCACTGAAAAACCAAAAACCACCCACCCACCCTCTTAGGAATGTGGGCATCGTTGTGGAGACCCACAGAGGTTTTCTAGTGAGAACTTACTGAGGGTCCGAGAATCTGAGCTTGATTTACCTAGCAAGGCTGCGTAAGGGTAAGATCTGACCATGGGCGTGGTTACCAGGTGTTTGGAAAGGTGTACACTTGGCTGTGCTGTGTGCTTTGATCTAGCAAGAGAAAGTTCTTTGCCCCACCTCTTGGCATTGTTATAAAAAGTCCCTTTGAATAAATGGAAAAGGCCATTGAGTATTGACCTAGGTCCTCCTGAAGCTATCCTGTGTTTCTGTCTTTTTCCTCTTCGCTATCTTTCTATCTAATATTTTCTTGTCCCTCTCTCCTCCTCATAAGTACCCTTGAAAAGGTGGGAGCTGGCCTCCCACACATTGTGTTCTTAAAATTACTTCTTGCTGTCTGGGGGTGATGGCATCTTTAGGGGACCCTGAAAAAAATTGAGATAATTGTCAAGTTCTGGGAGAGCCAGCTGTATCATTTGTTGTCCAGTCTCTGTGCAATGGGAAAGTACAGGGCTTGATTGAAGTCCTGGCTAGAGTAGTCTGTGAGACTGGGTCATCACAACCAGCCACCTTTAAATTGTCCCAAGCAGTGTGTAGTCCAAAGCTGATCATTAGGTGGTGTTTAGCAGCTTAGTGTCATTACCATAGTCCAGGTGGAATCATTGTTGTAGGGCTCCATCATCTTTTTGGAGACTTCAGAGATCACTGTTAGGAAAGTTTATCATTCACTGTAGAAAACTTAAACATCATTAATATCAAAACAGAAAGTTTAAATTTTAAGGTGGTACTGTACCTAAAGAAACATTTTAAAGAGTCAAAATAAATTTGAGGGCTAAGAGATTTGTAACAACAATAGTCCCTCAATTTTGGTTACTTTCTGTCCCATACAGGTGGCTTTTCTGTTACAAAACAGAGACTGAATTTTCTTTTAACAACAAGCTTAGGTTTAGAGAAAGAGAGAGTCATGTTCCAATTCCAAACCAGCTTTATTTTTTAATTGAACTGGGACTACAAAAACACCATTTGCATTATGTTTGTAGAGAACAGCAGAAACAAACATTTAGAAAGATTTATGAAATTTTATCCTGTCAGAAATGTGATATATCAAGAGTAAATAGAACAATTTACTCTTTTGCTTGGGATATTTTCTCTGGATGATTCATCCTTTTTTTTTTTTTTTTCCCACATGCCTCATTTGTCCCATGATCTTCAGATTCCTTAGCTGAATGTCATCATTCTCCTGGAAAGACAAAAACAAAACCTTGTCCCAACCCTAACTTTGGGGAGTTTCCCTTTTGGCAAGTTATATCTGATCAAATGAAAAGCATCTGTTAGCCTTATAAGTTAGTTTAGATTAAATGGTCATGGTGGTTGATGAACTATCGTCTCTTCTAATCAGGAGATCTCTTTTATTCTGGTTTCTTCTGAAATTGCTTTATCTTCTAAAGCTGTTCTATCATGCAGAGCAATATGTTTTTTACAATAGCCATTAGATCTTTTAGTTGCTCTGTGGAGGAGTTTCCCCTACTATGACAGGGAATGACTGAACCAAATTTGAAGTGGGGGCCTGCAAGAGGACCACTAAGGCTTTCCTGATGGCAAAGGGTTACCTGTCTGTCCCTTGTTGATCTGCATTCATGTGTCCAATATTGGCCTTTGCCATACCTTCTGCATAATCCAGAAGGGAGGGGTCTTCTGTTTGGATTATTCCTAGAAAAAACATTGTTTCTAGGAATGCCCTGTTTATAATCTCTTTTTAAGTGACCTTGTTTGCCACAATTAAAACACTTGTCATTTTGATTTTTCTTCAAGTCTCTGGAAATCACCTCTCCTATTTAAGCATTGTTGTGGTTATGAGATTCAATATTGACTGTATCTAGGATCCATTACTCTATGGATGCTGATCTTGCCTTTAACAGACTAATTACCCATTTGCATTATGAATTAGCATTTTCAAAAGCCAAAGATTCAATTATTATTTGACAAGTTTCTGAATTTGGTATCATTCTATTCATAGCTGAAGTCAATCTTTGTTTAAAAAAAAATCAGTGAAGGTTTCTTTCGGACCCTGTATAACTTTAGTAAATGACTCAGTTCTCTTTCCAAGTTCTTCAATTCTGTCCCAAGCATTTAAAGCTGCTGCATGGCATAGAGCCAGGGTGTGGTCATCATATAGAGACTGTCTTTGTACATCAGCATAATCTCCTCCAAGAAGTTGTTCTTGGGAGATTTCAATACCTCTAGCCCTACTTCATTGTTCAATGGTCCTAGCCTCATCTTTCCAGCAGGTCCTCCACTGTAATTGAGGACCAGGTACCAATACTGCTGTAACCAAGTCTCTCCAGTCTTGTGAGACAATTCTGTTACTAGTTGACCATGAAGTTAACATCTGCCTCACAAAAGGTGAATGCATACCATATGATACTATCGCTTCCTTAAATCTTCTCAAACCTAACATTTCTACAGTAATCCAGTCAGCTCTTACATAGCCTTGTGGATATCTGTCATTTGGCAGTTGTTCCTGTAATGTGTCTGGATAAATTAAGGTTGGTTGTTTGAAAACCTTGTGATGTTCCTAATTTTATAATGTAATGGTAAGATTGGTTCTCCTTTAAATTCCTCTGGCTGGGACTGAATATCTCTATGATCTGTTTCAATAAGTTTTTCTAAGGCTTGTATCTTGGAACACCTACCAACCAACTTTTTTTTTTTGAGATAAACCAAGAGTTATTGAACTGATAATAAGAATTGTCAAAATGATAATTAACATTGTGTCAATCCCAGTTGATTATCCCTTCATTTAATTGTTGCATTTTTAAACCATGCATTGCATAATCTTACAGAGAAATGACTCCCTCCATTGTAATAGTGTTTCCCAATTTTTAATGTGGGAAAAATCTCTCTCTTTTTTTAAAAAAAAAACAAACTAATTCCCCCCTTTAAGAATTCCCCATTGTGTCACCAAATCTGCTGCTGATGACGGTGAAGTTGACAGTGAAGTCCAAGGCTGACAGCTGCTGCATAGAATGGTAGAAGCCCGAGCGGGTGTCAAGGCAGCCAGCTAGTGTGGCAGAATCCAGATGAGGGGGTCCAGGGAAAGCCCACAACCCACCGGGAGAGGGAGCTGGCTGGCTGAAAAAATGCAGAGGGTTATGGGGAAGAAGCACAGGCAGCAGAAGTTGCCTGAAGGCAGAGCTGGCCAGTGCTAAGGGGCTAACTCTGGCGGTGTTTGGAGCCCAAGCCCTGTGGAGTTTGCTGCAGAGAGGCTGCAACAGAAAAATATCAGACTTGCTCGGAGGGCTTGAGGAAAAAAAGAAAGGAAAACTGGCTGTCGAGGCAGTGACTCCAGCCTCCAGCGGGAGCCCCCACATGCAGGTCCAGCGTCTGCTGGGGGCTACAAAGCCACAGGCAAGCAGCTTTTTGGCAAAGTCATGCCTCATGTTGTGTGCCTGAAGGAAGCATGATCCTAATTAGTCTTATTAATAAAAACCAAGAGCCAGATATTGGGGTAAATGCTGAAAGATCAGAGAAGCAGAGCGGCAGCCACTAGAAACTTCTTACCTCTACAAATCCTCAGACCAAATGGGGGGCTGAGATCCTGTCTCCACCTGCCTTATATTCCTGTCTCCACCTCTCGATTGTGCTGGGATTAAAGGGGTGAGCCTCCCAAGTGCTGGGATCAAGGTGTGAGTCACCACCACCTGGCCTCCATGGTTAACTAGTGGCTAACACCACCCTCTGATCTCCAGGCAAGCTTTATTTGTCAGGACACAAACCAAATACCACACAAAAATCCTCCCCTCCTCCTTTTCTCACCCTTCTCTCTTTTCTATTTATTCTCTCTGCCTGCCAACCTCACCTATTTCTCTCTCCTGCCTACCTATCAGCCATTCAGCTCTTTATTAGAATAATCAGGTGTTTCAGGCAAGCAAAGTAACACAGCTTCATAAATGCTAAATAAATAAATGCAACATAAAAGAATGCAACACATCTTTGTATCATTAAACAAATATTCTACAGCCTAAAAGAATGTAACACATCTTAAAGTAATATTCCACAACAGAGTTGGAAATCTGAGGAGCATCTTGACATCACACATGGAGATACAGAGTTTGGAGTTTGCCCAGCTGGTCTTTGGTCTTGCTTTGGTCCAGTATTTCTTTGCTATGCTCCCTTCCCTATGTTTTGGGATGGTAATATATATCCTGTGCATGTCTATGTTGGAAGTACATGATCTGCTCTTTCATTTTGATTTTTGATTTTACAGGGGATTATAGTTAAGAGATCACATGAATCTTAGACTTTTAAGTAAGTTTGAGACTGTTACAGACTATAGGACTTCTGAAGTTGGACTGAATACATTTTTGCATTATGATATGGCTACAAACCTTTGGAGATCAGGGAGTAGAATGTGGTTGTTTGAAAGAAAATGGACCCCGAAGGGAGTGGCACTATTTGGTGTGGCTTCCTTGGAGCAGTGTGGCTTTGTTGGAGGAAGTGTGTCACTGTGGAGGCAGGCTTTGAGGCCTCATATATGATCAAGTCACTCCATCTCAGTTCACTTCCTGTTACCTTTGGATCAAGATGTAGAATTCTCCAGCACCATGTCTGCCTACATTCTGCCATGCTCCCTGCCATGATGATAATGGACTGAACCTCTGAAACTATAATCTGCCACCTCAATTAAATGTTTTCCTTTATAAGAGTTGCTGTGGTCATGGTACCTCCTCACAGCAATAGAAACGCTAACTAAGACAGTAGGTATTGTGTGGTAGGAGCAAGTAGTCACATCTCAGATTGGGAAGTAAAGAGGGGAGGAGGGAGCAAGCTTTCTCCTTTTATAACAATTTTCTTATGAGAAATACCTAGGAGTCACAGGTGAGTGGCCTTATCCATTAACAGCTTCAAGGGCAGGGATTGCAATGACCCAAGTGTCTCTCACTAAACACCATCTCTTAAAGATCTTGTCACCTCAAAGTGCCACACTGGGGACCATAAGAGACAGACTGCATCTCAACCATGTCCATGATGTAGATGTATGTTTTCTTGGTCCTGCCTGGCCCCAAGGTCCTGCAGCCGCTTATAAAATAATCACTTAGGGGCTTAATATTGTTTACAAACTGTATGGCCTGTGGCAGGCCTCTTGCTAGCTGGCTCTTATATCTTAAATTAACCCACTTCTATTAATCTGTTTTGCAACCTGTTCCATGGCTTTACCAGTCTGCTGGCTTGTTGCTCCTTGGGCAGCAGGCTGGTGTCTCTTCAGACTCCATCTTTCTTTTTCCTGCCTGCCTCTAAGCTGCCTTGCCATAAGCCAAAACAGCTTATTTATTAACCAACGGGAACAACATATAATCACAGCATACAGAAAGACATCCCCCAGCACCATGACCTGGCATTTTTATGACAAATTTGTTACAAAGTGGTAAGACAGCCATTGTTTTAATTGCAGATGTGTTCTTGTAACATACTGATATACTCAGTTTATAAAACTTATGTGTACAAAATGTTATGAGTCCTCAAAGGGCTCAAAGAACACAATGTAACAAATAACAACTATCACGTTTCCTTTGCCTTGCCTTTTGCCTGTCCAGTGTTAGTCTAGGGTACATGGCCAATCTTCTGGAGAAGATATATCATTTGGGTTGCTTTTGTAGACAAGGTAAAGGATTTTTTTCTCTCTCTCATTAACATTTAGTTATAAATGCTAGGTAATTGTTGGTGGGTATGAAAAGAATGCAAATCAGGAAACACAAAACTACCGTCAAGCATTTACAGGGGACAGACAGTGTGCTGGCTAGTCTTATGTCAACTTGACACAAGCCAGAGATATCTGAAAGGAGGGAACCTCAATTGAGAAAATACCTCTGTAAGATGCAGCTCTAAGGCATTTTCTTAATTAGTGACTGATGTGGTGGCCCTGGGTTCTACAAGAAACAGGCTGAGCAAGTCATGGGAAGCAAGCTAATAAGCAGCACCCCTCTGTGGCCTCTGCATCAGCTCCTGCCTCTAGGTTCCTGCCCTACTTGAGTTCCTGTCCTGACTTTCTTTGATAATAAACTGAGATGCGGAAGTATAAGGTGAATAAACCCTTTCTTCCCCAAGTTGCTTTGGTCATGGTGTTTCATCACAGCAGTAGAATCCCTAATTAAGACAGGCAAGAAGGGCTCAAACTCATCTGAAAAATATAGAGCAAAGGGACCAGCAAGTATGTACTGCTCTTAGAAGGCAGAAAGGTTATTTCCACATGAATGGAGGCCACGTGAAAGACTAGGCAATGGTAAGATCATACCTTCTGGGAGGTCAGCAGGACAGGCAGAATTTGCATTGGGGAGGATGGGTCTTGAAGTCTTTAAGGTTCAGTATGAGGAAGAAACTGAGAAAAAACCTGAAGCAAGTGAAGGAATCCCCCCGCCTCGGTTGGGAGGAGAGGGCAAGAGAGGCAGAAGAGAGAGAGAGGGAAGAAGAGACCAACAGTGTGTGTGAGATAGAGGGGTTAGGACTGGTGGAGGACTGAGGTGGAGCCTACGTTTTGGGAAAAACCCACCAGGACTTGTTTAGGGAATGTGAAAGGGCAATTGAAGGGTTTGCACTGAAGTTTAGTGATATTAAGGCTCCTCTGCAAGTTAAAAGTGTCATGCTGTGTTTTGTAAAGATAAACTTGGTTATTGAGGAGAATGCAGAATCAAGCTTGGGAGCTGGAGAGAATGTTGTAGAACATCAAATCCAAGAATTTAATTGCATGGGAGAAAGAAATTGAGACCACGGAGGCAGTGACTCCTGGAGAGTGAGATTGCACATCAGTCTGGAGGTAAATCAGGGCCTACTAGGCTTCCTCTCCTGTGTGCCGCCATGAACCAGTCTTGGTGTTACCTTCAAAAATTTGGTCTCTTGATTCTTTCTCTACCTTCTCTTTGGCCTGCTTGCATCCAGATCTCATTTCCTGATGTAGTTCTCTGGCTATTTAAACACTCGGGCCTTCTACCTTCTCTATTTTTCTGTCTTTGGACAAGGTCAACAGAAAGGTAAAAGTAATCAAAGCACCGAGTGCCTACAATGAATGACCAAGGCAGGAATGATGTTAGGGACTCTAGATGTGAGTATACTCTGAGTAAAGTTGGAGGAAAAGACACATTAGCCAACAGTGTCTGAGGTCCTAAACACAGAGCAAGGAGTGCTCTGGAGGTGGCAGAGGGGAGAGAGGAGTCCTCAGGGGGGATGGGATTGCACAGGAGCTGGAAGAGTTGCCAGGCAGATGGAGAAGCTTGTTCCTTAGAGTAGAACCTGTGCACAGACTAATGAAGACGGGGAGGGGTGGGGGGAGCAGCTGTGCTTAGGAGGGCCCTAACTTCAACTGGCCACAGCTGGAGGTCTTTTCAGGGCTGTAGAAATGCAGCGGAAGGCCCAAGTTAGTGACAAATCATCAAGGCCTGTGCAAACCGTCCTGAGGAGTCTGGCCTGGATGAAGCACCATCAGAGTGATCCGGCCTCCCATCTTCCCCGGCCATCACGGGCTTCCGATTGCTCCTGTAGGCTCCTCTGTGCTCTTCCTTCCCACTGCTGCAGATTACGAGCCCCCCTAAAATGGAAGGCTCACACTGAGAGCAGATGGCCACTCCGCAGTGGGAAGAGAGGCGCCAGGCTTCCAGGGCTCACCGTGGAATCTCAGTGTACTCAAGAACTAGTATTAAGAACAAGCTGCTTAGCTTCCTTTGGCTTTCATTTCCTCATGTACCAACGACAGAAATAACATCAGTCCCTCCAAGGGATTTGCGAGTTCAGTGAATTGCAGAGGAAAAGTCCGCCTGACACAGACTCCAGAAAAATGTTATCATGACTTCTGTGAAGCCCTCAGGTGTAGGTCTGTGATGAATACAACGTAGTAGCAGGGTCAGTCAGCCTGCCTGTGTTTTGTGCCAGCACTGGACCATTGACAAAGCTTCCTATCAACCCTGAGCCTTCCTCAGGTCACAGGGCCACGCCCTCCAACTCATCTGAAATCCTGTCCTGCCTTTATTCCCTGCAATGGTAAATCAGTATTTCGACTGCACCGTGCTTGCCAGTGTGAGCAAACTTTCGATCGGGCCCAAGTCTCTGCACACGGCTCGTGAGGGGACAATAGAAAGCAGAACCACAAAGCGGAATGAGGCTTCTGGTTTGGGTTAGGACTCCTGATGGCCCGGCATGTGGTTCACCAAACATCCAATTTATGACTTTGTCACTTACACTCCTGGTGAGTGCCTCATGAGTTGCAATTACCTTTTCGTGATTAACTTTCTATAGTGCTCATGCCAGCACCATGCCTACCTGAGCAATTCATCAGTATTTCAGGAAAAGCAACACAGTGATCTTCCCTAACACACAGAACAGTTTCAACATAATTAGTAGCATTTCTGGATCAACACAGCACTCTTACAATGTGTATGATGGAGGAAATGAATGACTCTAATTATACCTTATTAAATTTTATTAATCCTCATTAGAACCCTATTATTCTTTATAAGTGGGTTACTGAGAAGGGAATAAAAGTGAGCAAGCTATGCTGGTCAAGTTCCGCTACGTCTAAATGAGCACTGGGCGATTTCCCCATACTAAATAGTAGCACACAGGACATAGATCGGCCAAATTGCTTAAGACAGAGTGAATAAATTGTGATCTTTTAAAGTCTGAACTTCAGGAGCTCATGCTTCCTGCCTGATATCGGGTTAATTATAAAGAGAAAATATTTCATTATTGCGTGGAATGCACGGTACTCTTGATCTCTCCTGCTGCATTCCTACTTTTGAATGTGTAGCTGGGAAAGTTGAGAGGGCAAAGGGGTTAAGTAGCTTTGAATTTGAAGACCGCAGGAGAGGCGTTGTTCAATAAATGTTAAGTACAAGAATATGTACTTTGACACTTAATGTGCTTAATTCTTAGTCAGAAAGGTTCATCAAAAATCTAACCTGAAAAGCACCACGGTTGAGCTTCCCTGCGCCTGTGGTTCTTGGTGTACTTTCTATGTGCATGACTGGGTTAGGCTGCAGGGGGTCAGGGCCCACAGAGGGCACCGAAGGAGGCCTGAGAGTGGCAGAGTCAGGAGCTTGCTCAGACAGTTGCCTTGTGCCATATTCATCTAAGCCACCTGAGACGGTAGTAACAGGTGGGAGAGCCCTTAGGGTGGGCTGAGGTGAGGCATTTCTTTTGTGTAGGAACACGACAGAAACACAAAAAGAACAAATCAGAGGCTGTTTTGTTTGTGACAGGGTCCACATAGACCGGCCTCCCTTGTGCTGGGATTAAAAGCTTTCAGGCCTGGGGGCCAGAGGGCCTCCAGTACCTCCTAGCCCATGTCTTAACGTAGTAAATGGGGATCTCATTTTTGCTCACTTTTACAAATATCAAAGACAAAAAAAAAAAAAAAATCCAACCCCAACCTTCCAAGAACAGGCCTGTCTTTATTGAAACCAGCTCACCCAGTTCGTGTATTTTCTTTTTTAAGCTGTAAGAACAGAGCAAGCTTTCTGGTTTTGGGGCAGGGCAGGGTTGGGAAGTAAATCTTAAACTCCAAAGGTTCATTTCTTTGAACAAAGGACAGGAAGTTGCCCTGATTGCCACTGTTGCTCAAGGCTTGTGAACCACAACCTTCCAGGAACTGGGGCTAGTCACTTCAGTGGGTGGTCGAGTCATCTGCCCAGGTCTAACTTGGTTCTGAGCTCACAGCGCCCGAGCTTGGGTCCTGCCTGGAGGCGGAAACCCAGCCGGGAGTAGAGAATGGGATCTGCTCCTAGATCTGCTCAGTGTACGGCTGGGTCAGGTCCCAGCTCCTGAGAGCTTCGGCGCTCTCACGTGTGTGAAGTGAACCGAAGTTGTACTCCACCATCCCGTAGTTCTGAGTCCTGCTGGAGTCCTGGGCGGGGCTCCGACGAGGCTCTTAGGGTGGAGGGAGTGGGGGGTGAGGGGGTGTTCCACGGCAGGATCTCCTCGTTCCAGCTCAGCCTCCCAATTTGTCGCCTGCAGAGCCGACCCGAGTGTGCCGGTTTCTCGACTTCCTCCTGCATCTCCTTCCTCTTCCTCCAGTGGAGGCAGATCCCTCTTTCCCTTCCTCTTCCCATGCTCCCTGCACCCCCGCGTCCCCTCCTCCAGGAAGTGCACTGCCCAGGGTCGCCCACCTCGAGCGGGCGCTGCCCGCCGCGCCCCCTCCCCGCCCGGCTACTGCAGCGGCCCCGCGGGCACACGCCTCCCCATACCTTACATGGACAAATGCGTGCAGGCAAAGTCAGGAATTCAGGCTCCTGACGTCAGCCTCCAGCGCTCAGGGCACCGCACGGGAGATCGCGGGGAGGGGGGGGGGTGGGGAGGAAGGAGGGGGAGAGCACCAACCAGCAGCCGCTCCCGGCCTGCCGAAGTTTCACTTTTTGTCTGTGGGTTCGCTCCCGGGCCCCGCTCCAGCTTTCCCCGGGAATAAGTAGTAGCCTTAGCGGCGGGAAGAGCCGGCCGCTTGCAAGGTAAGGGCCGGCGGCGGGGGGGGCCGGGCACGGGGAGGGCGCGGGCCGGGCGGAGCGGGCCGCTGCGGGCCGCGGGCCGCCGGGCCGGGACAATGGGAGGGGGAGTGCCCGGCACCTCCTCCTCCTCCGCCCGAGCCTCCGCCTCCAGCCGTCGCGGCCGCCGCTGCCCCGTCCGCCTCCTCCCCCAGGTATAGTAGCGAAGGCTTCCTCCCTCCCGCAGCCTCGGCCCGCGGGCGCCGCTCGAACCCCCCCCCCCGATCTTCCCCCCCCCCCACGCCCCCCAACACCCCGGGGGCGAGCCGCTGCGGTGGCGGGAGCGCGGGACCGCCCTGCTCCGCCCCGGCCGCCGCGGAAGTGCGGGCTCCCGGGCCGGGAAGCGGGGGGGTGGGTGGGGGTGGGGGTGGGTGCGTGCACGGCGTGGGGGAGGGGCGGGGGTGCGGGTGCCCTCCGCGCGCCCCCCGGCCCCGGGGGCCTGCCTGGGTGCCCAGGGGGGCGGGGCCGCGCACCGGCTGCTTGGAGCTTTCGCGGAATCCCGGTTGTCACCGCGGAAAGGGCCTAAGGGACCCAGCGACTCGAGAGTCTTCCCATTTTACAGCCCGGGCTGGCGAGGCACCGGGGAGGCGGGCTTTCCTGGAAGTCATTCCTGGAAGGTGGAGCCCTGGTTAAGAGCGGTGGCTCAGGACCCCTACCGTCCCCCCCCCCCCCCCCGCCCCTTTCTTTTTTGTAAGAGGTTCTGAGTCCCCACCGTTTTCAAGCACTGTAGGTTACTGGAGACCAGACTTTGCCCTCAGGGAGAGCTCCCTGGAACCGCAGGAGCCAAACCTGACCCAAAGTAGGAAGGGCCAGAGGCTGGGGAGAACGCGAAGATCAGGTTTTTAAGGGGGAGGAGGGTTTCTCGGGAAGGAGCTTCATAGTTTGGTCTCCCTGAAGACACCCGAAGTGGTCCTGGATATGGGTGTGTGTGTGTGTGTGTGTGTGTGTGTGTGTGTGTGTGTGTGTGTGTGTGCGTGTGCGCGCGTGTGTGTGATGGACTGTTTTGAAGGGTAGGGACTTTTCTTGAGTAAGAAAGGCAAGGCCTTCCTTATCAGGGAGGCAACTGCAGACCAGAGAAAGCTAAGTAAGGGTGGGGAGTGGACATGGCGTTCATTGGTGGCTTGGGGTGGGAGTGTGGCTGGAGACCATGCCAGTGGAGTTGTGGCTGGGGTACTTGGACGGGGCAGTGTAAAGTGTCTCTAGCCGCTTTTCTGTTTAGGAAGGGGTCCACTGCTTCCCCTCCCCCACAAGGAAGGCCTAGCAGGACCTCCCCGTCGATCCCTTCTGGCTTTCTCAATAGACTTTTCATCTCTTTTTGTTTCTGTACACCCCCCTCCCCCTTTTGCAAGCTTGCCTCTGCAATACAACTTTCTCTCAAAGGTGTCAGTGACTTAATGGTTCACTAGTGTTCGTCCCTCCTCCCCCCCCCCCCCCACCGCACAGGCAAGTTTTCAGAAAACCTTGAGGGGAGGAGAGGGAAAGTGTATAGGGCTGCTGCAGGATAAATTAACCTCTCTCGGACCGCTTTTCTCATTTTTACAAGTAGGGAAACAAACCCAGATCCACAGAAGTTGAGTGCCAGCCCTGTAGTCTCTGGTGGATAATGGTGGATTGAGGTGGGGGGAGTGTGGGGAGGTACAGAAACCCAGTAAGATTCTTACTGTCCCAAGAGTCTCCTGGCGAGGTTCTTGCCAGCACCAAGGGGCATTTAAAGAGGAAATTATGTATCTAGCATTTCATCTTTGGAAGGCAGCCTGTGGAGTCCAGAATGCTGTCTAGTGAGGATTAGCTGTGTGAAGGGTAGGGGGACATGCCAGAGGTCCCGAGGCTGGGACAGTGTCTTGTTTTGCATCTCCTGACCATCTTCTCCTTCCTCTCTCCTTTGCCAACCCCTCTCCTCCCAGTTCCTTGTAAGCGTCTCTGGCCTGGACTTGGGCATAGGCAGTGGGAGGGGAGCAAGTTCTTGAATTGATCATGATTGCTGGGATTGAGTAGTGCCCTTCATGGAGAGACATTCTGGCCAGGAGGCATTTCTCTGAGAGGGTAGGCATTTCCAGACAGTGATAGGTAGGAGAGGAGACTATGCCTTTTGAGGGTTTTGAGCAGGCAGGAACATGATTTAGAGAACTGGCATTGAGAAACCTCCTGCTGCCCAGTTTCAGTGAGAGAGGTGATAATTTGGCTTAAGAAAATGATCATGGGTTGTTTCATTTGCTTGGCATGCGTAGTTGAACACCTATTATGCACCACTGTCAAACATGGAAATTGTATGGCAGGTTCTTATTTTTATTAGGTAAGTTCTAAGCTACACGTGTCTTTTTCATGTTTTCATACCACTGACATGTGATTGTCTTTTAATCACAGATGTGCCCTAGTTGAACAAGTTTCTATTCTAAAGTTGATAATGATACATGTCTTACAGTCACTGTTTTAAATTTGATAAAATTTGGTTGCCAGGTCTTTTATAAATGTATAGTACTTTTACATTTTATAAGAAATACTTTTCCATCAAATATTCAACGTTAAGTTTCTGGAGAAGTAAGCATGGTGATAGTCCCATCTCCATTTTAACCCTTTCCTTGAGGTTACAGAGCTAATTAGAGGTGTATACAAAACTGTTAACTCCAAACTTGGGGTTCTTGGTGGGAACTTGTAACTTTACCCTGCTGTGGAGCCAGCATGGGTTAATTGGTGCTGGAGCAGCGGCACATTGGCTTTGATTTCAGAACTATGGTTTATAGTGCTGGGGTGATGGGGCCCAGCACACCAAGAACAGTATAACTTATAAGGGCTGGGAACCCACTGCAGGGTAACTTGGCAGAGACGGGAAATGCAGGAAGGAGGAGACCCAGTGTGGAAAGCATGCCTCTGGCCCGGTCCCTGTAGACCAGAGAGAGACACTGAGGGGACTGCTGGGAGCACAAGTTAAGGAGGGCATTTTTCCTGTGCTGGAGGAGCACCAGGTGTGTGTGAGGGTGGAGAAGCCTGGCGGGTGTGGTCAGGGTTTTGGCTACTCGGAGGCTGGAAGAGACCAGCCTCTGGGAAGTAACCCACCATAGAAGGGTGGTGTCTGAACTGAATCTCCAGGACTAAGAAAGAGAAGTATAAGTGCAGGAAGGGAGGCTTTAGATGGAGGCTGCTGGACAAAGGAGCCACTGTGCAGGTGCTGGGAACGGGGTGGTTTATCCTGGCTGTGTTTGGAAGGGTCAGCGTGTTTGTGGAGGTTCAGAGAGCAACTCTGTGGAGTCTGTTGGGTTCCAGAAACTCAAGCACCGTGTTTGTGTTTGTACTGCAAGTGCCTTTGCCTGCCGAGCCTGAGAGGACCTTTTTTTTTTTTTTTCTTATTTTTGCAAAGTATAGTTTATATTTGTCTTGCAGCTGTGGGGGCCATTAATCAATCCTATTGAGGGTCATGATTCACAGGAGAACAAGGAAGCTTCGCTGTGGGATTGAGTGTAGGGTGTCGCGGCAGACGGCACAAGAACACTCTTCCTAAGTGGATGAGTGAACTTGAGACTTTGGCCCAGCACAGTAAGGAGGGCCTCAGAGCTCGAGGTGTGTGCATTGGTGGGTGGGGACCTTTCCTGGAATATGGCTTTGGAATGCAGGGCTTTGCCTAAACTCACTGGAGGTGAGGAAGTGGGGGGGGGGGAGGGGTCGAGCGCGCGCGCGCGCGCGCGCGCACACACACACACACACACACACACACACACACACACACACACACACACGGAAAAAGTGGTTGCTGCTGCTCCATGTGTGAAAGTTGAATGTGGGCAGAAGTCTGTTGGCCTGAAGGTGCAGATGAAGTACAGGACGTGAGGGTGAGCTGAGGGGCAGTGGGAAGTATGTTGTCGCAGTTTGCTGTAGCTGCCTCAAGGCTTGTCCTGTTCCTAATATAGGTCCCAGGAATGAGATTGTTGGTCACTAGCTGAGGGCTAAAGGCAGTAAGGCTTGGAAGAGAGCCATAAAGCTGAGGCTAGAGAATGTTTATGTTCTTATCCTTTCTAGGTAGCAAGATAATTTCAAAGTTTTGAATGATTAGCACATACTCATGTAATTACCACATTGATTCCCTAAGATTTATGATTGCTGTGGCTTGGGTGTGGTTTGTCCCTCGAAGACTTGTGGGTTGAAGGCTTGGTTCTCCAGTATGTACAGTGTAATGGGACTTTTAGAGGTGAGGCCTAGTGGGTTGGTCTTTAGGTCATTAAGGGAGTGTCCTTTAAAAGGGATTTTTTTCGAAACGTTAACTTGAGCAGGTAGTTACAGAACAGTGAGCCTGACTCCTGATTGGCTCTTTGTTTTCCCGTCGGGTGATGCGATTTTTCTCCTTCTGTGATTTTTGTGGCATCCTTCAAGCCTTCATCAGAACACAGGTGATACTGGTGATGTGCCTTGAGCTTCTAAGAACCCTGGGTTGGTTAATTAAGCCTCCTTTCGTCAGTGTGGTCCCCAGTTTCAGGTGTTAGGTTATGAGGACTAATATTGGCCGGTATGATGGCTGTCAGTCTCATTTTGCAGATGAGAAAATGAGTTTGGTGACATGTGGTTGCCCAGCTAAGTGGCATGTTTCGTGCTAAGCCCTTGCCTGGTCTGTGGCCTCTTGACTGGACACTGTTGTCCCTGTCCACAGTCAAGAAAACCTGAGGTCCGGAGTATTTTCAGCACGTGCGCTGGACCTTGGGTTTGCTCCTGAGGATGAACCCTGGGCAAGTGGACTTCTTGGTTCCATGCTGGTGTTACCACAGACCCTATCAGCCTGCTAGCACGTTGCCATGCCTTCTTCCACGGAAATGGAGGCAGCAAGTTAATGCTCCTTTCAGTGTGCCTCCCCTCCCAAGCCTTTGCAGTAATCTGGTTTCCACGAACCCAACAGAGAGGTAGTTGGGGCAATAAGAAAGTGATCAAATATTGGGGAGACTGCTTTTCTATCATTTCCCTGGCCTTATGGCTCCTCCAGAGGA